ATAATACAATAACAAATTGTATTATTTACCTATAAAACATTTCTCTTAAACAATGTCAATTGCTGAGGTCGTCGTAGTAAATATGTAAACCAACTCGAGGCATGTTGATGGTCGTAAATTCAGTGGAAATAACAAATGAATTCGAACGCTTTTAAAATGTCGCCTGGACAACGCCCACGCATAACAATGAAGTTGGTGGCAAAAAAAAGTAACAAAAACAGCAAATAGGCATTTGATGGGGAATATTATTGGCATGCACGTCCAGAAGTGTCTAGCTAAAGCCAAACACACCCAACTCGAGGAGTATCCATGTCTATGTTGTGCATGGTTATTGGAATTTTCCAAGGAAAGCAACAGTTGGGCCTGCGGCCAGCTCAATGCCTATGCGTCTGCTGTGATTGCTGCCATTTTGCAGATAATCAGCGTAGCAGCAGCAGCAGCAGCAGCAGCAGCAGCAGCAGCAGCAACAGCAGCTGCCACAAGAACAACAATGAAGAAAAAACGAAACAACAAAACTAAATCTCTTTGGCATGGTAAAAAAAAGAAATCCATTTGGACTAACAACTGCAGCCTGTTGCGCTCGCACAGGATGCACGGGAATGCAGCGAGGCCTGCATCTGCATTATCCTTAAAAACGTACCTGCTGTGAGCACCAACTGGCAAATGTTTCCAGCATTCGTTTCGTTTGTTGCATTCGGTTTGGGTTCGCCTGGGTACAGGACCCTCTCGCCGGCAATCTGTTGCGCGCTGTGCACATGTCTCTGATTCTGGTGTTTTGATTCGGCACTGAATTTGATGCCCACGCAAGGTGTTCCAGTGACCCTGTTTGGTGCGCAGCCAGGCTGAACAACATTTGGTCCACATGCACTGCGAATGCCCTTTGTTTTCGCTGAACAGGCGAGTGTGTAGAAATTTCGAGTAGCAAAGTGAAGTGCATGGATATTTTGTAGGATTTGTGGGTACAGTTGCCCAGCCAATTAGTAGCCGAAAAAAAAAACGGAATCTGTTTTGTGTTAGCCACCCACCCACACACACTGTATGTGTGTGTAAAAAGCAATTGCCGCGCCCACATCTGTATTCGAAAGCTAATAGAGTTGTCATTTCAGCACGATTGAGCGGTTAGGCAAACATTTTCCCACTGGCGGCACGTACAGCGAGCCGGCAATGAGGAGGCAACAATTACCAACGGCAGTCATTACAGTGGCAACAAAAGCTGGCCATAACAAGCGAGTGGCGCTATATAATCATAGACGCCGTCAGAAACGTCCACGTCCACATCCACACCGGACAGCTAGCCAGTTAGCCAGTTAGCCAGTTAGCCAGCGACTCAATGGCCAAACGTGGACGCAGACTGCACTCTAAATCAATTAACAGCACGTCAAAAGTGTTGAAAATTGGACCAAGTCGTCGCGACGGGCAAGTGCAAGGCGGGCTGGCTGGCTCTCTTAATAGATTAACCGGGTGTCGGTGTTGGAGTTGAAGCTGGAATTGAAGTTGGAGCTGAAGACGGCGCACAGAGACAGAACGAGATCGAGCCACGTCCGTGAGATGGAAAGTGAGGTGCAAAATGTGTAGCAACCTGTCTGCGCTGAAGGCTAATCAGCATGCAAATAATGTTGCCGCCTCTGCAAGAAGATTAAAGAGCCATGTAGCTGTGATAGCCGGCGCAACCAAGTCGAGCGCTCTGTCTACGTGCTGGCCAAACCAGTTACAGGTCGTTGAGAAAATTATTGAGTGAAATGAGTTTGTTAACACCTAGCGACGAGAGGGCGTTACCAACGTGGACCGATAATTAAGCATGCGTATCGTTGGCGTTACAGTAGGCATTCAAATGACCACCCCCGCCCCCACCCTCGCCGACCAATGTCAAAGTATCGGCCTGTTTGATTGGTCCATTAGCAGCAATATGCGATATTTAAGTGTAATTATGACATCCACTAAATGGTAAGCA